ACATCGTCTTCCATGGAAAGTGGGGGAAACTAGGTTCTGCAACTCCGTGGCAACTGTGTGTTGGACGCAATAAAGAGAGTCGACGTTGACCGACCACACAACCACTTAGATATCATACACACACAACCACTCCACTGTTGAAATGCTTTCTGCTGCTGCGGACAAGAAAGCTTCACTCACGTTCCACACAGAGGGATCAACCTCCAACCCTTTCGAGGGCTACCAAGAATAACGAAGTGAGAAAGCCCTACAAGCCCTCTCCGGAACTGGTCAGATAACGAGACAGCGCTAAGCTGACAAACGAAATAAAGGGCGGAGAAGTGTGTGTCGTGTGTCGCATGTGTAGTGCATGCTAGTAGTCGTGTCGTGCTGTGTACGGATGCTGACTGTGTCGTGCGTGTGTGTGTGTGTGTGTGTGCTGTGCTGGTCGTCATCGGTCGCTAGTCAGTGAGTCAGCTGACTAGCTAGCTAGTGTGGTGGTCGTGACTAGGTCGTGCGTGCATGCAGCTGTCGTAGTGACACTACAGCTACAGTCGTGCTGTGTGTGTGTGTTGTCAGCTCGATCGTGTGTGTCGTGTAGCATAGCTCGCTGACTCCGCACTCGGATCGATCAGCTCAGCTGATCCAGCTGCATCACGAGTGTGCTAAGTCGTAGATCGCTCGCTGTCAGCTTCAGCACCTTACGTCGATGCTGCATCGACGAGCGAGAGCTAGACACATCTAACACATCAACGCCTCATCTCTTCCGTTTTCATTTCTGTTATCATTTCAAAGTTTACTCTTTGCAGTTGTGTATGTTACTGACTCTCCGAGACATTCAGGATACTTGGTTATATAAGCGCCGTTAAGTCGTGTCTGCGCTTTCTGTGTGTGTCTTGGTGAGAGCGCGATAGGGCATCAGTTCTAGAGAAGATATAGTATTCTTCAGGATGAATATCGTAGTTATACATATGGTCTTGTTGCTCTTGTTTCTTCGCGCGCTGCTCCGCTGTTCCGCTCAGAACTCGCTCGCACACCTCTGCTCCTGATAATGTATGTCCTTTCGCATGAATCAATCGCTCCGTGGGCTTCGTCTTCCGCCGCGCACATCATTCTGTAGTGTTATTTTGGCTCCAACCACACGTTGCACGGAGTGAGAATAGTTTCCCCATTCTCTCATGAAGACCATCGGGGCTACTGCCTTTGCCCCGGTCTTTAGCAGAAATGTTTTGTAGGTAATGAGATGGATATGATTTTTTCATCTTGGTGTTTCTCTCTCGTAGTGAGTTCCACACGTTCACTCTACCGCGCTCTTCGTTTACCTTCTGTGATGGCGCGAGCTGATGACGTCACGCTCTCTCCTCACTACTACCCTCACGTCAAGCGAGTTAACTTTTCTCTCTCTCTCTCTCCAACGTGTGTGGAAATGCGGGGATTATGCGGCTTCTTGATAAATTCTGCGCGCTCTCTCTAAATCTGCGCCATCTTTGCTGATTATCGGTAATTTGCGACGCAGAATCGCGTTTTTCTCGGAGGGTGTTTCCTACATATAATACAAAGTATGGCAGTATTTTGGACCTGTTCGAATGGTGAATCATAATCATGATTGACTTAATTTTTAGCTGTTGATTCAATCTGATTACACTCTCTTCTCTCGTTTGAGCCCTTACAAAATAAATTTATATTAATAATAATACAACCTCTTAGCAGGACTGGTTCCGGGCCGAATCGGTCATTTGCAAGGAAACGAGACGTCTAAGGACCTTAACTACTTTATAAAGCTATGATACTTTTATATCCATAGCTCAACGGGACAGAAAATGTATGATTATTATTTCATTTTTCTCTTTCAACAAAAAACACCAATCGCTAGAACTCCGACCTCTGCATTAGCCACCCGAGCACAAACAATCTAACTATTAACTTCGCACGAAATCACTCCTAGCTCCTTAAGTTGCTTATCTAGCTGCATATCACCGATCGGTTCTATGATCGTAAAAGCACCCGAATCTATGGTGCCGCACTCCAACACTCGAAAGATCCCAACCTCGGCAACGTTATCAACAAATCGTCATCAAAACTGTGCGCCGCTAGGTAGCTACCACGCTAACTCCGCGCTCTACCCCTTGGCTTTTGTCATGGTCAAAAAACTGGTCTTCGAATGGATTAAACCGTTAACAACGGATGCTGGTAGTTTAATCCATAGGGTTAATATCCAATGTGACTGCGTCCCTTTTTGAAACTGTTCTGATATCTATAGCATAAACTGCAATCTCGCTTTCAAATATCAGAGCAAGGCCATTCCTACGTCTGTAGGCAAGATTGAATGGCTAAGACGCCACCTTTTTTTTAACATGAGTGTGTGCGGGACGATTTCCCTTCGATTCTATTTGGCTCGAACGGTCAGGGAAACAGATGTCAGCATGTCAAATCGAACAAGGGGGGCAGAGATAAGGCAAATTCACACAAATCGGCCCAGAAGAGGTTTTTTTTTTTGCTAACTCTGCCTCTAAAAGGTCACATATCACTTGTTTTGCATAGAATATGTTGGATCAGTCCAGGGACCGCGTATAGACTTATTATATGCTTGGTATGTTGGATTTCCTACAGCTGACAGTCTAGCTAACCCATCATCCAAGGTTAGTTTTCACTATAAGTACAAAATATCTTTTGGACGGACACTATAATTTACAGTTTTTTTACCATGTTCAATCTGAATTTTCTTTAGAATAAAAAACATCTATATTGATTCTGACTTTTCTACTTCCAACTCACAGGTTTATCATTACTTTGAGAAAAAAGATTATTAATTTAACCCTTTTAGAAGGGAAGATATGGTCATTTGTTCTGGGAATGTCATTTTCGAGCCTGAAACCTGAAAAACAGGCTTGGGGCTTAAGAGGTTTTAACAAAGACAGAACAGGAGTATTCCGATTCTGGCTGTTTTGCTTTTCATACAAAGGCATGCTAACCATTGCAGTTTGCATTGTAGCAGTTTTGGTAAAGCTAAAAAAAAACACAACCCATTCATGTATTGTAACGCTGATTATAGTTCTCTCTACAGCCCGTTCACACACCACTCCCACATGTTGGGAAATTCAGAGCTTTGCAAGCCTGCCACGCCAAGTTACAGATGCTAAGATTAGATAACCATGTTCCGTTGAGAGGTTTAGCTAACGGTTAATGTTCAGAGTGCTGATGGATGATTACAAGCCCTTTGGTTAGTATGTTAGAAATGCTCCCAGGTTAAAACGTGTTCACACATACTGATTCATTTGCACGCTAGAAATAACCATAACTCCCCACTGTGTCATTAGAAAACAGATGAGACCCCTGATATTTATTCACACTTAAAAACAAAATAAACAGTAGTAAATCTAAAGGATTGTTGAACCTTTGGATTTTTGGAAAAACTAGGAGTGAAGAGTGAAGTTGGCTGCTTTTTGCTAACAAGCTCTTTTCATATTAAATGTGTGCAGTTAAATCTACAAAATGTCTAATAAGTGTGATTACTCCTTCTTTTTGAAACATTTCCTGTGCTCTGCCTGCAGGTGACGTACCGTGTGGTTCAGGTGACAGACGATCAGTTGGAAGCCTCAGCTGATGGGTCAGGGGCCGTCAGTGTGGTCTCTGCTGCAGCGTTTGCTGGAGCCCCCCAGGCAGTGGCACAGGTGGGTGAACGCTCTGAGAGGCGGAAGCAGGTGTAAAGGGGGGGGGGGGTTGTCTCATGCATATGGTTTTTTCTATTTCTTTTTTTGATAATCTGTCAGTATATTTTCCATATTGCTTTATGCATTCTATTGTCTTTTTTATCTTGATTATTATTATTATTACTTGATTTTACTTTTATGAAATCTGTTTTCTTTTTCATTAATTTGAAATTCTATCCCTGTTTTAATGTTAATTCAATATCCATTGTTTTGCTTGTTGTAAAGAAATGTGTGCTGCATTTCTTGAAAGGTGCTATACAGATTATGATTATTATTTTTAATTATTAAAAAGACATACATAGCATTAGCGCATATGATGTACTGGTTGTTTACTGTGTGAATCTACCTTTTGCCAGGCTGTCATCCAGAACCCTTTCAGTAATGGGGGCAGTCCTGGGGGGGAGACGGTGGGAGGAGAGACGCGTTTCGCTTATTTCCCTGCCACCACCGTCAGCGATGGAACCGCCGTGTCGGTGCAGACCACCTCCGACCCTACGATAGCTCAGGCAGGAGGTGGGAAACAGCAGCCTCCCTCCTAATGGGACACCTTGTTTTACAAAATAAGGACAGACGAATAGATATGAAATAAGAGGCTTCTAATGATGATTGACAACATGTATCATCTTTCTTATCCTCATCGCATGGCCGTGCATTATGCGTCCAGTGGATTAACTAATCATATTTACTTTCTGGGATTTAGCTTAAGGAGATAATAGGTATTTTAGCCCAGAATCAGCGTAAATATTTTAAAGAGATATTGCCTTAGATTAAGCCTATTTGTAAGAAAACAACATACATTCGGAACTTTTGCACTTCCTCACATGAACAAGAGGAATTCCTTGTTTTTACATTTGTGATGTGATGAGGTGGATCCAACCTTGTAAAAGGAAGCACTCATTTTTTCTTGACACAAAAAAACGTCACGCACATTTTGGATTTTAAATTACAATTATTTTTTTCTTAGAGATTTTTCTTCGAATATTTCCCAGGTATTGTATTTACTTAAAATATTGTACTTACAATAGCCCTAATACACCAGCATACATTACATGGTCAGTAAAAAAAAAAGGAAAATCAATTATTACTTAAGGACAAATTAATTTTCCTTTTTTGTCTCTTAAAATCCAGGCCAGTTTTACGTGATGATGAGCCCCACTGAGGTACTACAGGCGGCCCCTCGTTCCCTCGCACCCCGCACACACACCTACACTGCGTGAGTATAACTAAACACTTCCCAGCATTAATCAGAATCACCATAACTCTCTCCCCTCGTGTTTGCCCGACTTCTCACCCCCCCTTACCCTGATTCTTCACGGGGGATCTCTACCTCTTCCTTCCCTTTCTGAATGATTAGTTTTGTAATTGTGTGTACAACTGAACAACCAAACAAATCAAAACATCAAAAGTCTGAAAACCACACTGTGTCCTACTTACCTGCCATCCCCAGAGACCTCGGTGAAAGCGAGATGCTGCAGCATGGCAGTTCTAACTGGTGAGAAGAACTTTCACATATGGTTCAGCTGTGCTGCGTCTTCCTTCCCAAAAGCTACTAAAGATGAATGGTGCATTTGGGCACCAATCCTTAACCAGCCAAAGATATAAAGCTAAAGTCAAAGCATTTGTTTAGATGTGCGGCTGTAGCTCAGATGGATGCTACCAATCGTAGGGTCAGTGGTTTGCAGTCGACATGTTTGTTAACAACCACAGTTGTTACCATGGGCATGTCAACTGTATATGAAACTTTGTCTCTTTGGATAAAGAAATCAGCTAAAATACATGTTATGTATTTGCATCTTTCAATAGATATGTGTTCCCCTTTAACGGGATTCTAGTTCAAGAGTCAGAGATTTGGTTAATGTTGAAATCTACTTTATTTTATAATGAGAAAATGTGTCTGTCATTTATAAAAACGTTGTATGTTTGCTCTGATGTGTCTTTACAGGAAGGTGGAGGGTCCACGGGCGCCCAGAGATGAGAGGCGAAGAGCACAACACAATGAAGGCATGTACTTTTTTTTCTGTTTTGTCAATGCTACAAAGCTAGTAGTTACATCTTGATGTAGATTTAGGGCGTGAGCTTTGTTTGTACATAACAGCCTTATGATGACATTTCTTTAAATGTTGTATTTCCTTCCTTTGCAGTGGAGAGAAGAAGAAGAGACAAGATTAACAACTGGATTGTCACGCTTTCAAAAATCATCCCCGACTGTAGCTTAGACAGCAGGACTGGAGCGGTGAGTTTAAAAGTAAACAGCCTTCCAAATAATATTTTCTAAAAGCTCATATATATTATTAAAACGTGTACAATTTTAACAAATGGCTCACCTGTTAATTAATCTTTTTATTAATGAAATCTGGTTCGTAAAATCTGGGTTTTTATGGACTAATGTGTCCAAATTTGGCCTGAAGGTGTCAGCTTTGTCTGTGATATTTTTGTTTCATTAGCATTTCTATGGATTTTGAAGCTGGATTACATCCAGACTGATAAAACTAACCTTAGCATATTTTTTGCACTTTTCACGTCTTTTCACCCAATTCTTGCTTGAATTACTGATGCCAAAGGTGTAACCACATCCAATGCCTCACAGTTGAAAGGAAATTAGGCTCTGTTATTTGGTAGTCAGCCACTAGTGAACAGTTCAGTACAGATGTTTCTTAGTGACACAATGGGAGGAAAAAAGATGAGTCATGTTTTACCAATTCTTTCTTTTATCGTCTAGAGTAAAGGAGGCATCCTGTCCAAAGCCTGCGACTACATCAGAGAGCTGCGTCAGAGTAACCAGCGACTGCAAGAGAGTTACAAAGAGGTGGAGCGGGTGGAGATGGACAACGAGCTGCTTAGACAACAGGTTCACTTCCCATTTAAACCTGTACATAATCGTGATCACTCAGCCTAAATTGAATGTAGATGTCTAACCCTTCATTTTGTTGCAATGGAAAGAAAAACATTTGCGATACAGGGACTGTGAGCACAAGGCAGTGTTGTAGTCAAGTCACCAATTCACGAGTCCAAGTCACTCTCGAGTCACCACTCTTCGAGTCTGAGTCCAAGTCCGAGTCACCCAAGGAGTGTCCGAGTCATCATTACCTGTGTTCGAGTCCAAGTCCGAGTCACCCAAGGAGTGTCCGAGCCGAGTCCGAGTCATCATTACCTATGTTCGAGTCCAAGTCCGAGTCACCCAAGAAGAGTCCAAGTCCGAGTCACAAGTCTTCATATATTAATCTTCGTGGATATATGTGTTGAAATGTAGCTGCTCTTCTACATTGCTTTTATACTGTCATGTTATACTAATCTGTCTATTGAACTGCTGTGAAGCGAGTTTGGCTACAATTCTTGTAATAGGTGCTATACAAATATAAAGCTTATTACTAATATTAATATTATTAATTCAGGAGTCTGAGTCCGAGTCCAAGTCAGAGCGTCAATGTACAAGTCGAGTCCGAGTCATCGTGGGGGGGGAAATTCACGAGTCCAAGTCAGCGTACGCGAGAATTCCCGAGTCCAAGTCCGAGTCGCGTCAATCAGTGCGCGAGTCCGAGTCGAGTCACGAATCCCGAAAATCGGCACTCGAGTACTCCATCTCTGGCACAAGGCAGCCTATTTTGACATATGAAATGCACAGTATATCTCAAAGAATCTTGGAAAGTATAGGAAAATACAATGTGCCTGTAAACTTTTCAAGGATAAAAAAAGGTGAAATTTTTCTTTGTGTCTAATTACCTTTTTTTTTCTCCTAGATTGAGGAGCTGAAGAATGATAATGCACTGCTTCGAGCGCAGCTACAGCAGCACGGCGTAGAAGTGAATGGAGATGCGACACCTCAGTAATTGTGAACTGGACACTTAACCTCACAAACACAGTGTTTCATCCTCCCACCCACCTGAACAATACCATGAAAGGAAGTACAACTAGAGACAATTTCCAGCTGTAATTGGACCACACAAACCGACACACACAGGGTTCGGAGAAAAGAAACAATGAAGGACTGCAAACGCCTCCTCCACCTCCAGCTGTTGAAGGCTGAACGCTCTGAAATCCGTTAACTGTGTAGCTCACTGAACCTCTCACCTCTGCTTCAAGGAACCTTTGCACAGCTCCAGCATATTTTCTTTTACTTTAAATTATAAAACTGCCACAGGAAATGTTACTTTTAATTATTTCACCTTTTTTAATGGAACCGCAAGCCTCTACTTCTTCCCTTTTTTGTTGACATTTGCTGTGATGGAACTACTAAATGTGACATGAATGATAGCTCCCCATTTACTTTTAATTTATTAGTGTTTAAGGAATATGTACACAACAAAAAAAGTCAGCTGGTTCCAGAAATGATTCAAAAACACATTTTTTGGATAATGCTCATAAACTGTTACTAAATATAGTTCTACTGTCAGTGGGTCACATATAAATAGTTGATCTGTGTGCAATTTGAGGTAACTTTTTACAATTTCTGCCTCTACACTGACGCACCGAGCACAGATCACAAAACTTTATAAACCTAATGTCGGTGAATATTAAAAAAGAAATATATATATTACTTTTCTGACAGTCAAAGCAACTTCGAGTCAAGGAGGTTTTATTTTGAGTGCTAGGCCTTAATTGAAGCCTGCTGGAGAGTATGGGTGTTAACATAGCTCAGGTAATTGGGATAGTGCACTGCAAGTGGTTCCCAGACTCCATGAAGTCTTGGAGTTTGGATCTCTTATGTGTCCCTATTGGGTGCAATGTACACATAATGAGAATAAGGAGATGAGGTGGGAGTCATTTCTTAACGGCATTAAAATAATAGTTGGTTTGTATATCTGCTTAATAGGCTACTGGTGTAATGCACTGAAATAGAGGTTCAGTCTCTGTTGGACCACTAGTCATACTTCATTTTAGTGGACACACCCAAGGTGGCTTTTTTTGCAATTCCCTAAACTTTGTGGACCTTTGCTGCTGACAGAAAGACCAGAAAACCACCATGGTGAGGAATGTGGAGAGTAGTTTGGATGTGAGTGGTGATAGTTTTAACTAACCAGCTGTTGTCTACACTGAAAGTCACCACAGCATGGAAATATAACCACTGGCATGACTAATTCTGATACAATAAAACAAGTGTTTATACCTGAGTGCAGAGCCATATAATGAGTGTTGTTTATCGCAGATGCCTGTGTTTTATGTATTTCTAGTTACCTTTGAACAGCTATCAAGATACCTTACTTGGAATATTTTCTGGCTTATGTTTTTACATATAAACATGTTTACAATTATATATAACGTTTTTTCGACACAACATTATGTCACAAACTCAGGATAATAAGCTAAATATTAAAAATATACCAATTAGCAACATTTGAAGCACATTTTTACTTATGACATTTCCTGTATATCTTTTTCACTATTGTTGTTCATTTTAAACATTCAACAGTAGATACATAAGATATATTTGTAACTTGCCTTTTACGTAGAGTACTTAGTTTGCTGAAGGTGTAAAAGAATGGCGTTACTAACGTTGACTCAGCATTTAAATTATTAAAGCTTTTACTCGAGCGTTGTATCGGCTCGTTGCCTGGAGACGTTGCTACAGAAACTTCGTCCTGAAGCATCAGCACGCGCCGACTCGGAACATTCTAGAATATCGGTGAGTAAAATGTGATCTAAAAATGTACATTAGAATGAGATTTTAAAGTTTCTCGCGGTGTTTCAAGTTTGCTAAGAGCAGTAGTAGCTAACGATGGTAGTTGTGGGAGTAACTACACTTTATGGCCCTGTGAAAAACAATGGCACTTAAGGAGCAGTTTTATGGCAACAGTGTTATTTGTTGGTTTAATTTATTTGTCGTCCCGTTTACTTAAACGTGATTCTACCACGTCATCTTTATGTATCTGTCAAAAGTTGTCATTGTCCTACAACCGAATGCCTAAGTGTCCTGCATTCATACTAGACTTCGTTATATGAACTGTGCCTGTATGGTAGCAGCAAGTAGGCCTATCTCCAAGTGAGTTAACATTGTCCCAGTTAAAAGTTAACGTATTCAATAAAATTGTATTCAGTAATATTCAAAGTGATACTGAAGATGTAAGTGTAAGTGCTAAATACAATGTTGGGTAGTTTTAACTAAGCTGAAATTATTTTTTTTAGTCATATTTATATCATTAATTAAGAAATTAACCAGCCGCCAAATGTAGCCTAAGTAACTGAGTTGTTAATTATGGCTCTGTTAAATCTATATAAAATATGAATGCAGATATATATATACATTTCTGTCTTTCTTTCTCTCTCTCTCTCTCTCTCTCTCTCTTTCTTTCTTTCTTTCTTTCTTTCTCTCTCTCTCTCTTTCTCTCTTTCTCTCTCGCTCTCGCTCTCTCTCTCGCTCTCTCTCTCTCTCTCTCTCTCTCTCTCTTTTTTAAAGTGTATAATCATCTTGACTCTAAGAATCGTGTTTTATTAACATTACAATAAGCCCTTTATTAACTACACACTGTAAATACAATACTGGTATTGTGAAATAACAATACATTACTGTTCTGTATACAGTATAATTTTACAGTAGTGTATGCATTAAAACAGTACATTACTGCAGTTTTCTCTTGTCACCTGTCTGGAAAAAGCCTTTAGAAATCCTTGTAACTCCTGGAATTTGATGCAATCATTTGGGAGATTATGTTTTCCCTTTATAGCCGAACAATACTGACATATTATACAACAGCAGTGACACAAAGAAACGTACTCCACTCTGACGTGAAACCAAACTAACTTCTGATTAATGCCAAAAGATTCTCCACTCAAGGACATTTTGCACATGCACCTGCCATTTACATTACAACACCATTAGTAT